GTATTTAATGAGAGAGAACACAAACAAGTATTGAATACCTAAGATACACCTGGCATTTAGTCCGGACAACAATCCTACAAGGGAGGAATCATTATTCCCATTTTACAGATGAAGAAATAGAGGCTCAGAAAGGTTTGGTCACTCACTTATCCAAAATTGTGCTATTTGGTAAAAGAACTCTGGTCTCTCTGACCACAAAGCCCATATTCTTTCTTACTCTGTATTCCAAATGGAACTCTCATGAGTTTCACTGATTGAGCTAAATAATTAAAGATCTCTCCTGTTGAGATTTCTAATTCTGCCCATCCAAACCAAGTAAACAAACACCTGGGGAAGTCATCAGACTTTGAAAGAAGTCTATTAAAGACTGCCTGTAAGGAAACCACTGCATAGGTTTGTTTCGTAAATACTTCTGTTACAGTTAATTGTATTTTCTGAAGTTCAAAGAAAAGGATAGGAGACAGAAACCAGTTTCCATTGGTTTATAATCAGAACTCACCAGTGTGATTGATTCTTTCTGGTATTCTATGCAAAGTCACTTTAGTCACAGCTGTGTCCCTCCGGCATCAGAAGAAAGCAGGGAATAAATGTGCAGGGGACTGTGGGGTTCTGCAGCTCCAGGCTTTAGTTAGACAGGAATGGACTTTAAAGATGTTGGGATCCAAACTCTCATTTTATAAATGGGAAAATGAAAACTCAAAGGTTGAGTGACTGCTAGTTAATTGTAGAGCAGAGGCCAGAAAACTGGCTTTCCTGATTCTTAAGCCATTGTTCTTTCACGACAAAAATCAGCTATCACTTTGGAGTATATTCTTTTTTCCTCCTCTTCTCATTCAGAGAGGGGATGAAAAAAAGGTGACAAAGCTTACAGAAGCATTTAAAAGATCAGGACACTAAAAACCAAGTTAGCTTGGAAAGCATTGGAAGGTAACTGCAGAAGCTTGAATTAGCACAGTACAGAAAAAGATAAGGTCTTATCTAAAGCAATTAGAGTAAGCAGGCAATTAAAGGCTTTTGTTACTAGCATTTAGGTGAATGGTCTGAAACAGCAAGCTTTTTGAAATCCGTGGCCAGATCAGAACCTAGAAAGTGAGGACTTCTCTGATCGCCAAGAAAAAGCAGTGTCAGCTAAAAGGTACTTAATGTTTTTACACTTAACTTGGTAGGAAAAAGAAAAAGAAAAATGACATGAAACAAGATGTCAGCTGGGGTCCTCTGAGTCTACCTCCAGGTCCCAGGAAGTCCAAAGCCCACCCTTCAGTTTTTGCGAATTGTCCCAGGAGGTTTTGTTTTTCCTGTCTTCTAGACTTCCGAGATCTTGCTTCCATGTGTAAATTGAGAATTTACTGTAGAGATGGAAGGCGGGGTTTACATCTCAGTAACAGCAAATAAATTCGGATCTGAATGGGTCCTGGCCTCACTTCCCGACCTGTCTCAGCACCTGGCTGGCTCTTTCTCCACCACTTCTCTCCCTCCTCCCAAGCTGGAAGAGAAACAACAAACTTCCTCTAATCTCCGGCAGAGCAGGTTTCCCTTCCTCTGGAGACCAGGTGCCTGTAACATCCAAGCCCTCAAGGTGGCATCCCTCCCCACAAGCTCATCAAAGCTTTCCCCCAAGGAGACAGCTCCCTCTTTTCCCCCTTCCTGAACAGGCATTGTAGGTCTGGCTGTTAAGATTTGGAGGAAAAGAAAAAAAAAAAAAAAGAAATTCCCATGTCTTTATACAAGATGGAAAATTTTCTTAAGATAGTACTTGCTGGGGTCCCTGGGTGGCTCAGGCAGTTGGGTGACTCTTGATTTGGCTCAGGTCATGATCTCATAGTTCTTGGGTTTGAGTCCCCTGTTAAGCCCCATGTCTGGCTCTGTGCTGAAGGCTCTAAACCCATTTGGGATTCCCTCTCTCTGCCCTTCCCCTGCTTGCTCCCATGCACACGCGCACGCTCGCGCTCTCTCTCACTCTCAAAATAAATAAATAAACTTAAAAAAAAATTTTTTTTAAAAAGATAGTACTTGCTGTACTGTGGCGTTTATATATTTAAATTGCTTTGTTCTTTATGAAATTTTAATAACTAAGAGCAATGGACATTTCTTTATATAATTTTAATAAACAATCTTCAAAATTATAAAGCATTAGTGATCAGACCTAGGCTTTATTCCCATCTTCTATCAATGATTCACACCAGAAGGGGTTAAATGAAGCAGCTGTAAAGAGGCAGCTTTAGAATTGAAAGCCATACATGGAAATCAGGTACCCTTTAAATGGGCAGGTTTTGAAAACTCAAGTCTAATAAATAATACAAAACATCACAAGTTCACAGTAATACATGTGGATTTGAAAGTGTTTCCCTAAGCAGGTTTCTCTTTTTGGAGACATTTCTCATATTTGAAAACTATAAATCGTGACAGACAAAAAGTGAAGAAGACGGGTCTCAGTAGCCTCATGGCCACGGTCCTGGAGAGATGACTTACGGAATATTCTCTGTATTCTCTTATACTCCCGAGCTTTGTTCTGTTTCAACCCTTCCATTTCACAAAGCTCTACCTTTTCCAAGTATCCAAGTATTTTCTGCTTACAGGGGCAAGAAAGACTCAGGGTTCAGGTGTCAGGCACCTGCTGGGCAGAGCTTTGTGGGTCTGTCCTTCTCATCCTCCCCTTAATAATATGTTCCCGAGTTCTGCCTGCTCCCGTTTCTCTAGTTCCTCCTGAAATCTTCCTACATACACCTATCTTAATGATGTAAGACCTTTCTATTAAATGAACACAGGGTTCCCTCTGCTGCAATTGCATGGGGCTTTGTCCACCACCCTCTCCATAGTGGCAATTCTCAGAGTTTTCCTTGCTTCTCTCCTTCTGTACCCTAATTTAATTTCTTCAAAACCCATTTCCTCTTCTCTATGGTCCCACATCCAGCATTTCCAAAATTTGCACAATCACCTTGCATCACTTAGGAGGTTGCTTATTTCCTCTGAGCTACGTGGCCCACTGAGAGAGCAAACTGCCACCGCCTGCAGAGGGGGAAACCTTAGCCACACGCAGCCTCGTGGCCCAAACGGCCAGATCAGACTGAGAAAAAGATCCTAGCACACTTTTGGAGGGTTTAATTGTGCTTTCTGCTCCTTATCAAAAGTACGAAGCATAAATAGTGATTATAATTAGTACATTTACATAAACAACACAAGTAGATCACTACCATTGCACACTTCATTTTATTAATAGCTTCGTTGTTCTCCATCATTGTTTAATTTGCCCTGGTTTCCCTTCCAGCTTTAATTAGCACAACTTTTAAAGTTTATAAATATAATGAATTTTTTAACTTAAGCAAGCCCCTCTAGTGTGTGACAGATGGTTAATGTCAAAAGCCCATGGGGAAGGCTTCTGTTTAGCCTTTGATTTTGTTTTGTTTTTTAGGCCAGAGAAATGTTTGACTGTGCTGATAATTTGTAAGCATACATCAACCATCAACTTTTATGTGCTTTAAATTCCTGGCTCTCCCCTGGATTTCTCTTCTACTCCTGGCCCAGAAGGGGCCGGGAAACCAGGCAGAAGCATGCCTAAATGGCCTATGTGATAAGCCTCATAAAGTTATTTTTCTCAATTAATGGTTTTCACTGACAATTTTACTGCTCTGCTTTCAGCTTCCTCATTCCCTTGGGCATCTGTACATATGTCTGTGATAAGCCTCATCCAGTCCAACAAAATTGGCCCCTCAGAATACAGACTGCCCTATTTTTAAAAAAGCTCATTTTATAAAAGCTCTCTTTTTTTTTTGAAACACTTGAAAATACATTTAAACAGAAAGTAATAGAGCTTTAAAAGAGAGCTATAAAAGTGATTTATTCACGAGTACATACTTATTCCTCTCCCAATTGACATCCACTTTACATTAATTTTCCTTGCGTGTGTATCCTCAGCTTTTTTTCCCTAAATCTTTACTGCTAAAATGAACTTTTTATTCCATCCTTATTCTCTTCTACTTTGCTCCAAAGACTCATACGGGCTGAGAGAGATCCACTGGGGGTACAGAACCACAATTTGGGAAATTCTGCTCTGAAATAATAATGTTCCCTAATCACAATCACTGACTTTATTAGGTAGTCAATTAGCTATTTTTTAACTGGGGAAAGAAAAATTCCTAATTCATTTTTTCTGAAGTTACTTCAAATGCACTTTTATAATCATGCCCCACTGGGAGCAGGAAAGCATACCTTTTTCTTAGGTCAGTGGAACCTTCACTCTATAAGGAAATAATCTATAGAGAACCCCCACCCCAACACACTCACAGCAGAAGAAAGAACCAATGATAATTGTGCTCCCTTTATATTGTATACTTTCAAAGCAGATTCATCCATTTCACTTCATCCAGTCTGTTTTTTATTTTTTATTTTTTTAGCAGATAAGAAAATAGAGGTATAGAGTCTCATGGTAATAAAAGCTACAGGGGTGCCTGGGTGGCTCAGTTGGTTAAGCGTCCAACTTTGGCTCAGGTCATGATTGTGGGTTCAAGCCCTGTGTTGGGCTGGTGCTGACAGCTTGGAGCCTGGAGCCTGCTCTTGATTCTATGTCTCTCTGTTTCTTTCCCTCTCTCTCTCTCTCTCTCAAAAATAAACACTTAAAAAATTAAAAATAAATAAATAAAAGGTACAGCACAGGGATTATAGGCACTGATATTATGATAGCGTTGTGTGGTGTCATCAGATGGTAGCTACAACTTGTGGTGAGCAAAGCTTAACATATAGAGATGTTAAATCACTCCTTTATACACCTGAAATTAATGCAGCATTGTATGTCAACTATACTCAAAAAACTTTTTTTAAATAGAACCTAAGAGAAATTAAATAAAAGAGGTCTTTAAGGTCACACGGCTTGTCAGAGACCAGAATTTAAACCACCACTTGATGATTCTGATTAAAAAAAACAAATTTAGTTTCACAAATAGGATTCAAGATCCAGCAATCTTCACAAATGTTATGGTGGGGAAGCTTTTGTAAGCAATACTTACCAGTGACTGTGCTTTCCTTAGTTTAGATCTATCCTGCAATTTATTTTTCTTATCATGTGACTGTCGGCTGAAATCTGGGTTCATTTCATGTCTTTTCCTCCTTCTGTAAATTAGAAATCATTGGAAAATTACAAACAATCATTTTAAATTTGCATGGCTTTTTGTCTGTTTGATTTTGTTGTTCCTATGATTTAAATGATTGTTTTCACTCAAGTGGAAATGGGCCAAATGTAGATCATAAGAGAACTGGTTGAATAAACTCTGATGCATCCACACAATGGAGTACCATGAGCTATAAAAAGTCAGGGTAATTCTACATACAACTGTGGAGTGATCACCAGGATATATTGTTACATGAAAAAAGAAAGGGGGGGGGGTGCCTGGGTGGATCAGTTGGTTAAGCTTCTGACTTAGGTCAGGTCATGATCTTGCAGTTCATGGGTTTGAGCCCTATGTCAGGCTCTGTGCTGACAGCTCAGAGCCCGGAGTCTGCTTTGGATTCTGTGTGTGTCTCTCTCTGCCCCTCCCCTGCTCACACTCTGTCTCTCTCTCTCTCTCAAAAATAAATAAACATTAAAAATGTTAAAAAAAAAAAAAAAGGTGAATAAAGTGGTATGTTTATTTCAAAAATGCCTGTGTGTATTTGCTTAAATTTTTTTAAATGGAAGGACGACACCATAACATCTTGAAAAATGGTTACCTATAAGTAGGATCCCTATGTGATCCAATCAAGAACAAAGAACAGTATGGAGGGGTAGGAACAGAAGCTAGACTTCTCCAAATATACTTTGTTTTATATATTTGACTTTGGAAACATCTCAATTTTTCTCAAAATTATAAAATAAAACAAAGGAAGAAAATCCCTAAAATCTAAGAACAAATAAAAGAAACAACTCCTAACTATGGAGTTAGTGGCATTATTACACATGGAGGAATTAGTTAGTTCATGGGACTTTAACACAGTAATTTGTCCGCATATTCTTTGTAGTATTCTACTAAGAACTAAGGACAAAAATACAGGCAAAGAAATCTTAAACTGTTTTTTAGTAATCCTATTGTTTGTATTAATATTAGTATTGGTTTTCTAAAACTATCATATATATTAGGATAAAGTAGGGATCAGCAAACTGCAGCCCAGAGGTGAACTCTGGCCCAATGCCTATTTTTGTAAATAAAGTTATATGGGGACATAGTCATGCTTATATTTTTTTGCATCTTGTCTTTGACTGTTTTCAGACTACAATGGCAAAGTCGAACAGTTGTGACAGAGATATATCCTGTAAAGTGTTTATTCTCTGGCACTTTCCAAAAAAGTCTGCCTGAAGTAATGGATCTAAGCAATGATCCTCAATAGCCACTAACATCACAAAAAAAGAGATAACCGGAGATTTGCACCTCATGATGGAAGTACATGATCCTATCTCCTCAAGCCTCTGGCTCTGACCACCAGTATGGCCAAGTACAGGAGACAGAGGGACATGCCAAGCTGCACGTTGGGAGTACAATCAGCAAAATCAGAATGTGAGAAGCTCTACAGAATAAATAGCCTGATTTCTATAAAAAACAAATTGCAAGGGGAGAAAAAAAGGACAGAGGATAAGCCTATAGATCCAAAAAAAGAAAAAAGAAAAAAAAAGATTTAAGTGACCCATGGACTAAATACAATATGCAAACCTTATATGGAAGCTGATTAAACAAACCAACTGTTTAAAAATACCTTTTATGAGACAAAGATACCTCAAAACTGGCTTGATATTTGATTTATTATGAAATCATCCATGGATTTAGATGTGATATGAAATACAATTTCAATATATACTGAAATATATATGAATGAAATAATACAACCTTTAGATTTGTCTTCAAAGTAACCTGGGGAAAGGGAAGAAGGGGTGAGGGATAAAGGAAACCCGATTGGTCATGAGTTCAAAACTGTTAATGCTAGCTGATGGTTACAAGTGGTTGTATTTTGATATTTGAATATCCAGTATAAAAATTTTTATTTAAAAAGTCCAGCTTTGCTCAAATATTTCTTGTTGCTTAGTTTTCAAAAATGTCCCCCAACTTTTAATTAAGAACTTTTGAATATAAAGAACATTTGAAAGAATAGCACACTGATTACCCATATACTCTCCAACTAGATTCAACAATTACTAACATTTTGATATTTTTGCTTTATCCCTCTCTCTATATAGATACATATATATAGATACACACATCACGTATATATGTATGTGTGTATATATATGTATGTATGCATTTTTCCCATACTATAAGAAAATAAATTACAGACACTTCACCCCTAAATACTTCAATACTCATCTCCTCAGAGAGTATTTGCCTACCTAACCACATTAGTGTCATCATACTTTGGAAAATGAATGGTAATTCTTTAATATCATTTAATATTCAATTCATATTCAAATTTCTGCAATTGTTCCAAGAATGTCTTCTATAGTCTTTTTTTTTTTAATGTTTATTTATTTTTGAGAGAGAGAGACACAGAGTGAGCAGGGGAGGGGGAGAGAGAGGGAGACCCAGAATCTGAAGCAGGTTCCAGGCTCTGAGCTGTCAGCACAGAGCCTGATGCGGGGCTTGAACTCACAAACTGTGAGATCATGACCTGAACTGAAGTCGGATGCTTAACCGACTGAGCCACCCAGGCACCCCAGTTTTTTTTTTTTTTTTTTTTTTTTTTTTTTAATCAGAATCCTATATAGATTCAAACTGCATTTGGTTGTTATGTTTCTTATGTCTAGAACATTTTTCCCACTTCTTTTTTTTCCTCATGGCACTGACTTTTTGAAGAGTCCAAGCATTGTGTCTGTCTTGGTGAATGTAGCACATGCACTTAAAAAAGGGTGTTCATGGAATTGTCTATTTATCTCTTTAGATCCATCAATTTTTCTCTTAAGTACTTTGAGCCTTGTAATTAAGTAGATATGCATTTGTAACAGTTATATCTTCCTCTTTAGTTAACCCCTGTATCATTATGAAATGTCCCTCTTTATCTTTGGTAATACTCTTTGTCCTGATGGCTCTTTTATTTGATATTAGTGATCATCCTAGCCTTCTTATGCTTACTCTTTGCATGGTACATCTCTTTCCATCACTTCACTTTTAAACCTATCTGTGTCTTTGTATTTAAGGTGTGTCTCTTGTAAAAAGTATATGGTCAGTTCTTGCCTTTTTTTTTTTTTTTTTTAACGTTTATTTTTGAGACAGAGAGAGACAGAGCATGAACGGGGGAGCGTCAGAGAGAGAGAGGGAGACACAGAATCGGAAACAGGCTTCAGGCTCTGAGTGGTCAGCACAGAGCCCGACGCGGGGCTCGAACTCACATACCGCGAGATCGTGACCTGAGCCGAAGTCGGACGCTTAACCGACTGAGCCACCCAGGTGCCCCAGTTCTTGCCTTTTTACCCATTCTATAATCTCTGCCTTTTAATTGGGTGTTCAGTGCATTAACACTTAATGTGATTATTGCCTTTCATAAATGGTATCTGAGTTTCACAGAAAACTCAGGACATTATCAGTTTATCTCATGTTAATGTACCATTCATATGCCTGGGTATCTAAGTTTGTCTCTCTCCTATTTACCACCATAGTCCAGTATAAGGGCCACACACAAACTCTTAAATACTATCTTCAGGAATACATTGATCAATACATAGTCAATACATTCACAATGATTCAAAATTCAAGAGTTCAAAAGGATGTACAGTGAAATTTTTTCCATCTATTCTTGTCTCCAACTTACAGTTCTCCTTGAAGGCAAACAATATAGTATCAGTTTCTTGTGTATATTCCAAAGATACTTTATGTATAGATATTTTATGGATATATGTATATGTATGTGTGTGTGTGTGTGTGTGTGTGTGTGT